CTGTATCTCTTCAGGTATACTTGAATACAGACACTTCTAATAGCTACATGGTATCTTTTTTTTTTATATATAGAACAATAAGGTCTTTATTTTGTGAGACAATATATACCTTCATGACGAGACTCACTCATGTAGTCTTTGTTTCAAGGCTTCACAGCTATGTCTACTTAAAATGTCAATAATAAGATGTATAGCTTGCATATTGCTTGTCATGTTATTATGTGATGCATAATTATTAAATATCTATTGAAATAATATTGAATCAAAGCTCAGATAATAAATTAACTTTTTTCAAAGGCGTATACTTTATTTAGAGTTTATTGAACTATTTTACATCGTACTATAGGATAATTTTTTTTTACCACCCCTGATTTTATGATTATTGTACAGTAGTTTTTAATTATTTGGTTGCTCTAAAATTTGAAGAATAGGATGCATGTTACTTTTTTTGGGTGCTATACCATCCAACCTTACTGCCCTACAGTAGGTCCAAATCATCGAATCATTACATTTTGTTTTTGATAACTAAAATGGCTAATTGTTAATTGTATCAAAAAATTGACTTGTAAACATTGGCTGACTGTGGATTGAGGGAAAGCTGATAATTAAAATTAACAAACTGGTATTCTGAACACTTGTCTATTTCTGAGATTTTCTCAGCTGTTAATGGTTGCAGTTTATTGCTGTCCATGGATATAATTGGACTTGATTTATGAATCTACAGTTTGCTGAAAGGTCAATATATGTTGAATAGGAAATAAATTATAGAATATTACCATATTATGGTAATTATTGAACCTCACATTTGCTGTAGCAAGAAGGGCCTAACATCAATATTATGATGATGATAATCATGGAGTTTTTTTAGTCTATAATAATTTGAATCAATATTTCTAAATTATAAACTAGTTCAACTAGATATTGTCATTATTGTTACTAGTGGACGTGTTTTCCCATACCAAAGGTACATGATTTCAATGTATGTTAAATACATTATTATGTGTATATACACGTGTGTACAGTTACACGACTGGCAGGGCTGGAAAAGAAAGTCGGAGGCACTGGTCAAAGGCAACGTGAATGTCTCGGAAGAGTTTTGGGGGAAAAAATCTTGAAAAAAAAAATTAAATGTTGGGCTATGAAAAATTTGGTGCTAGTGGGCTTATCAAGACAACATTCTTTGTTGGAAACGCAAATAGTTTTTTTTCCAGACCTTATATTAGGACAAACAAAAAAGTAGGCAACTTCAAGATATCTTTAATACTGTAGTTGAGACATATGAGACATGGATATTAATGGTACAGAATTTAGCCTAGCTTCTGCTTCCTTCATCATACCCATAAATCAAGGGCTTTTAAACTTGCAGCTGGAAAAGTCTGGAACCAGCTCCCATTCGACGTTCGAAATTTGTCTTCACTCTCTGAATTCAAGTCTGAACTTAAATCTTTTCTTTTTATTTCCCAGTTTGAATCAACTAAATAACTGCTTTTCCCCGTCTCTCACAGGCCGGCATTTATTTTTTGGGGCCACTGTCTCGATTACAACTCCTGAGCACCCGGTCGTCTGTGGCAGGGCAAATGTGTTTCCCGTTCCTTTGTTCGAGCCACCTAGGCAGAGGTCCGGGATTGCACCAGGGTGGTGATTGATGGTGACCCCGAAGAGTAGTTGCATATATTTTGCCTATCTTTCCCATCCTGTCTGGTCCGACACAAATAAATATACATTAATGATTAAATAAATAATTTAATTAATTAATTCACATAATAATGCGGAAAATGGCTACATGTACGCTCGGCAGGTGGAAAACGGCGCCGCGAGCACCCCTACTAGGGATGGATACGTGCACCTAACAAAATGACATTATTATTATTATTATTATTAAATATAATCTTGAATCTGTACAGTATAGTAAAATTGTAAACTAGACAATGTATAAATATATGGAGAATCAGAATTCAATATGAATGTCCTTGAATGAAATAAAATGAGATTTCTACTGTACCTTTGCTTGTGGTCAATAGCAAACACATTAACCAAAGGTTTGTTTACAGTAATTGGAATATATTGTTAGATGCAGGAGAGATCAGTATGGTTTATAGCAGGGGATTCAAGAAGGCCTCCCCCACCCCCTATTTTTTTCATATTTTAAAAATAGAGAAAAAAAATAAAATTCATAATAAAATTTAAGTCGGAGTATACAGTAAGTCAACCACCCAAATTTCGCGTTTTAAATTTTCTTTCAAAACATCGACTTGTACTCCAAAATATACGGTAAACAAAATGGTGACGTAATTTCTGCCACGAAAACTGATTTTTTTTTCGTAATAGCAAAAATGCAGTTGCAACGCAGGCAGGCTGTCTGGCACTCATTAAAAAAAGCGGTTACAAAAATTGATTAATATTGTGTTTATCAGTAGAACCCTATATTACAGTATAAGCTGTCTCATATTGCAAACATGAATAATGTTAGAAGATCAAGCCACAAATAAATTAATGATCTAGCCAATCACAAAGCATGATTGGGATGAATGTACATATTGTATTTATTGGGTTTGAATGTTAAAGCAATTGAAGTGTAAATTTAGATTGTTTGTTTATGAATTTGACATTACACGTTAAGTCTGATATATGCAAGATAGTTTATTATTTGGTTTTTCAGTTAAAAGGAAACACTCTCGCTAGGCCTCGGTCAATTTATTTCATATTCCATTCTCCTGAATCAATATTCTTAAAAATGGATTTATTTGCAGATTGCCTTAAAAATTTTAAACTCCTTTTTTTAAGCCATGTAAAAAAAAGAAAAGTTGTTGATCATCCCTCCCTACTTACAAAAAAAAAATCAAACAACCATTTTTATTTTCTTTTTTTGCCAAAACTCACAAAAATGTTGTCTGTCTGCTTAGATAATTTCTGTATTTAGAATTTGAATGTGATACTGTACCAAGGATATTCTTCAATACCTGGAGTATATTGAAGTCAAAATTAAGGAACTGTTTTGACTGGTTTTTTTTTTTTTTTTTTTTTTTTTTATGCATTCAATAAGTGGCATGCTCCCCATTGTCAAATGAGAATTGAAAAATAATAAAATTAATAAAAGTAACTGTCAAAAAATTATGTAACAGAATCTGTTGGGTAGTTATATTTCTGACTTTTTTAAGCCAGTAATTAAAAAAAAATAAAGTAAAATATTCTGTTTTACTTTGACAAATGCATAATGCATACATGTGTATTTGAAACAACAATGGAGCATAGGACAGAATCAACCAAGCCTTGAGAGAATCATTGGCATCAAAATCAAACCTTTAATAATAGAATTCACTGAATCATATTGTATGAATTGTCTGGGTTTATTCTCAATGAAATTGAATGCAAGCATGAGAATTAACAATTATAATTTTAGATGAATATAATGGATGAACAATTTTTATTTCAAAATTGTCAGTTATTGACAATCATATTACGACTCCTAATAAAATTACAACATGCTACTTTACTGATTACTTTACAAATTTGATTACTGTACAAAAAACATATAAAAAAGATCTTCTTTGTTTATTTATTTTCCACTATTTCCTTATTTTATAATCTAGGCTTATTTGATACTACAGTACAAACCAATTGTCAGATCCCATTGACAAAACGGCCAAAATAGGTTTGATGACAATTCCAAATTATGACCACATACTGTATACTATGGGCCTGTTTCTGTTGCTTTTCCTAAAAATACAGTATAAAATATACCGTATAAAATACGGTATCTGAAATCCAGCGTCCCGTTTCTGCTAAAAGTTCTTCTTGGGTGGTCTTGTTTAAAAGGTCCTCTTTTACCCAACATGTCTTTCGTGAGACGGAAGTTTGAATTGACCTGTGTAGTGAGTTTTTTTTTCTGCTCATGATAAACATGGTTTCTTTAAAGAACGTTGTAATTTTTGTTTCATCTATAATTAAAAGTTGCAACGAAGGAAGTTTTACACCCCAACTTCTGCTACAGCTTAGAAATATTTTTCGCTTTTCCACGACAAAAAAATCAAAAAAACCTGCCCGCGTTATCCTTTGGCTCTTTACATCATGTCAGGATTCGGCACAAAATACGGTATTTTTATTGGCAGCAGAAATGGGGTATGAAAAATACGGTATCTGTTGCAAAATACCGGAATAATTCTACAAAAATAGTGGGGAAAAATACGGTATAACAATTATGGTATATTTTTATGAGCCCCGTTTTTGCTGCAAAAAAATATACCATATTTCAAAAATACTGTATATATACATGCCAGTATCAGTGACCAAAACAAAACAATTGACTTTTTTATATATTCATATCTCCACATATATTAAACTTTAAAATGATTGGTCATTTAATGGAATCAACTTTCTATAAAGCTATGTGTAAAAGTATTATTACAGCTTCTCTGTATTAAACAATACTGGCACATTCTTTAATGTTAATTTACTCTGTTTAACATTTTGCGACAGTATGGTGGTTTCTGTATGGCAAGCGTCATACATAAGAATATATTTCTTTCAAATTGAGTTTTAGTGTATTGAATTCTGTACCATGGTGTTAATTTAATTTCATTTATTTAGCCGAAATCAATTACAATATAAAAGGATAAAACAGTCGAAAATAACAAAAAAGATACAATAAATGTTGCTCTCTGATTTCCCGCAAGGGCCGGCAGGATATTCCAAAAAGTAAAATAAATTATTGTCAAAGTGGGTCTCCATCCGATGTGGGGAATCAGAGAACAGCAAAACATATAGAGAATGTATTAAAAGTATAAATTACAATATAGCATTTTAATTACAATCATTCAATAATTAGAAGCATCCTTATGTTATTTTAAAAATAGATATTTACTGTATGTGATTTGAGTTTAATTTATACAAATTCGATTTTTCCCACACCTTGCCTCTATTTTTTTCTATATGATAAATTTCTCAAATCTTGTTAATATTTTTTATTCCTTTTTTTTTTTGTTTTTTTTTTGCATTTTTAGTGAATTTCGAACCAAAAGCCAGCATGGATACAGCTCACCACATGATGTTGTTTGGATGTGATGCAATAGAAGAGCACCATAGTAATGCATGGTATATATCACATTTATTATCGTCCATATTGTACACATTCATGGCAATATTTATTAAAAGTATATTAACAAAAGGTATGTAGCTTTATATCTGTCTCTTATACACATCTATCGTTCAGTCAGTGTTATCGTCTAATACATTTTAATAAAAAACAACAATGCTGTGGGAAACAATGGCTGGATCTCGGTAGAGATACAAAAATGATAAGCAACAGCTAAAAAGTAAACGTAAGTACAGTAAACAGCCAGAAATAGAACCAGAGCTTTCGGACAACACTAGTCCTTCCTCAGTGGCAAGTGAGTGAGGGTTGAAAAAGCCAGATAGTATAAAGTGAGAATTTCATGCAAGCATGATTAGAAACAGTAGGCTAGGTGGGATTAGAATAAGCAGCCTGGACAAGTAAACAGGAAGGCCAAAACTAAACTTAAGAGGCATGCCTCTATATATATATATATATATATATATATCCTGTATCACTTGACAAAGACCTAGGTATGATCGAAAATGTTTCTGATGAACATCGATTTAAAATAAGCTGTGGTGAATTAACCACAACGTGTGTTGTCTGATTGAAATATAAAATTAACAATGTACACAAACTCTTAACGATTCTATTTGTATTTATTTTAGCTACAAATTTGTTTAATATGAGTAGCTACCATCTACCCACACTCATCAGGCATAAATACAATATGAAAAGTCAAGCTCATTGTCCTAGATAGGGAGTTATGGTGGGCGGGACCACCCAGCTTTGAAGTTTTCCACCCAGTCTAAAAGCTAATTTCATGGCCCTCTACCCACCCTTATTAACCCACTTTTCCATCCTTAAAATCCACTTTTATTATTTAGAGTTTAACGAATGCTATCACTCACCCGTTCCTTAAAATGTCTATCACCTACTCTTATTTTTTTACAGCTACAACCCTGGATACATATTTCTATTAATAAATTAGTATTAAAAGCATAATTTTGTAGTAATGATTGCACATCGAAAATCTTTCTTCTTTAACCATCAAACCACTTTTTATAAACCCCTGCAATGAACATCTGTCTGTCATAACTTTCTATTAGGCTCTCTAAGACCGAACAAGTCATCTTTTTGTTTTTCTTTCTCTTGAGTCCAACGACATAACAAGAAATCTCAAACAAATTGTCAACTCAGTTATCCAATATTTGCTCTCAGAAACATATTTCAGTATTTAATATTTTCGCCATGCAGACCTCTGAGAAATTTTATATAGTTGTTTTTTTAAATAGTTAAATATTGATAAAAGCATTGTTGTTAGAAAAGATAAATCTTTTAAAATAAAGGTTATGTCTTAAGGAAAAATTAAGAAACTCAAAACATTGTGCATAATGTTTTGTAAATATGCCTTGCACTTGGAGATGCAGCAACCAAACAAACGTTGATTGTTAATAAGATGAACACAACCTTTGAACTATGAGACAGTCAATTTTACATCCCACTGTAAATGTCAATTTCACAAGCAGCAGTTTCCACGTCACAATAACAAACGTATAGCCTAGTTTTACACAAACCAGCTACTGTAAAGGATTAGCAGCAGGATCCAGATAAATAACATATTGTACACACTCACTCGTTCATACGAGAAAATCCCTGATCCAGATACCAAGAAGATGATGATTGGATCACTGGCCAATAGGAAAATTGTTGTTTTGACTCTTGACATAAAATACACCAGGCTGATGTCTTTTGTTGGATTTGTCTTTGGGGGCTGCTAGGGGCTGCCTATTAGTGTGTTGGTGGGTTTGAAGAAAGTGTTGCAATTGTAATCAGGGGTGGCGCCAGAGGTGGGGGCTGGGGGGCTAAAGCTATAGACGATAAATTTTGTTGGGGAACAAAAAAATAAAAAAAAAATATTTACATATTATATTCGTTTAGCCACCATATCGTTTGTGTTAACTTTTCATCACAACAACCACAATAACAATAATAATAATAATAGTAATAATAATAATAATAATAATAATAATAATAATAATAATTCAATGAGAATAATTAAAAATAACTTGCGTTCTGTTATGACAAATGCTCATTTAGATAGCCTCATGATGGTTGGAATACATCGTGATAGGTGAAGCAACCTCGACCATGACAACGTGGTTGACAGATTTCATGCAAAATTTCCAAAATTAGATGGTTACATTGCATACTCTTTGTTTCTTGCTTTATTCAAAAATGTTTTGGTTTTGGAAGCTGATTTCAACATTAGAAAGCACAGCCTACATGAAGTCATATTATAGTAACTCGATGCCTATCAAATAAGTAATAAAAATTCGCCATAATTCATCAAATATCCATGGCTTCCAGGGGGATTCGCCCCCCTGGGCCCCCACCGGGGGCCCTAGGCGGCCCCCCCGGTCCCCCAGCCAAGTGAGACTCGATTCGCTCCACTAGCCCCCCCGTCGGGGCCTTTAGACCCTCCGACGGGCAGGTCCTGGCGCCACCCCTGATTGTAATCATTAAAGATTCTTTTAAAAGCGGTTCTGAGGTACCCTTGATGTATGGCAAACAGATAAATCTCTTATCTTTTTTTTTTCTTTTCATTGGTGATCCGCTACACTAGCGGATCACCTATTGTTATTGTACAGAATCATCTTCTTTTTTTTATTCTTCTTTCTTTCTCCCCTTTTCTGTTCGCACGATATCTCAAAAAATGCCATGAGTTACGCAAAATCGCTGTCAGCGAACATTTGGCTTGGTCTGGAATAGTCATGGTAAGCTTTTCAACGCGCTCAGTCATGCGTGACGTCATATACGCGCAATTTTGCGTTTTTACATTATCGATCATATCAGCCTAACCAATTGCCATTTCGAAATCGTATTAAGTGAGCATTAACTTCGGGTTAATGTTGAATGTACTGTACCCTAATTTGACGCGTGTGCTTCACTACGCGCGCGCACGCGTGCGTGAAATTTTTAAAATGCTCGAAATCACTTTTTGACTAAATTAGAGCACGTTTCAGTCCATTTTGAGCATTTCATAATTTTCCACTACGCGCGCGCACTTTTACTTGCGCAGTACGTATGGAACATCTGTCTGTCATAACTTTCTATTAGGTTCTCTAAGACCAAACAAGTCATCTTATGTCCAACGACATAACAAGAAATCTCAAACAAATTGTCAAGTCAGTTATCCAATATTTGTTCTCAGAAACATATTTCAGTATTTAATATTTTCGCCATGCAGACCTCTGAGAAATATTATAGTTTTTTTTTTTTCAAATAGTTAAATATTGATAAAAGCATTGTTGTTAGAAAAGATAAATCTTTTAAAATAAAGGTTATGTCTTAAGAAAAAATTAAGAAACTCAAAACATTGTGCATAATGTTTTGTAAATATGCCTTGCACTTGGAGATGCAGCAACCAAACAAACGTTTATTGTTAATAAGATGAACACAGCCTTTGAACTATGAGACAGTCAATTTTACATCCAAGAAGGTTCGTACTGTAAATGTCAATTTCACAAGCAGCAGTTTCCACGTCACCATAACAAACGTATAGCCTAGTTTTACACAAACCAGCTACTGTAAAGGATTAGCAGCAGGATCCAGATAAATAACATATTGTACACACTCACTCGTTCATACGAGAAAATCCCTGATCCAGATACCAAGAAGATGATGATTGGATCACTGGCCAATAGGAAAATTGTTGTTTTGACTCTTGACATAAAATACACCAGGCTGATGTCTTTTGTTGGATTTGTCTTTGGGGGCTGCTAAGGGCTGCCTATTAGTGTGTTGGTGGGTTTGAAGAAAGTGTTGCAATTGTAATCAGGGGTGGCGCCAGAGGTGGGGGCTGGGGGGCTATAGCTATAGACGATAAATTTTGTTGGGGAACAAACAAATAAAAAAAAATATTTACATATGATATTCGTTTAGCCACCATATCGTTTGTGTTAACTTTTCATCACAACAACAACCACAATAACAATAATAATAATAATAGTAATAATAATAATAATAATTCAATGAGACTAATTAAAAATAATTTGCATTCTGTTATGACAAATGCTCATTTAGATAGCCTCATGATGGTTGGAATACATCGTGATAGGTGAAGCAACCTCGACCATGACAACGTGGTTGACAGATTTCATGCAAAATTTCCAAAATATAGAATTTCACTTTCAAGAATGAGGATTTGGAAATAAATTAGATGGTTACATTGCATACTCTTTGTTTCTTGTATTTATTCAAAAATGTTTTGGTTTTGGAAGCTGATGTCAACATTAGAAAGCATAGCCTACAAGAAGTCATATTATAGTAACTCGATGCCTATCAAATAAGTAATAAAAATTTGTCATAATTCATCAAATATCCGTGGCTTCCAGGGGGCTTCCCCAGCCAAGTGAGACTCGATTCGCTCCACTTTACAATGAGATGTCATCCCGCTACGTATAACACCAAAGAGGTGGATTTGGCGCTGCTCTAATTGCAATTTGTTCAATGTGTTCCATATAAATGTAATATACATTTATGGGAGAGACAGCTGAGCCCATCGCTGCACCTTGGATCTGTTGATAATAATTTCCATCTTAAACATAATAGGTATAAACTTCAGGTATGCCTCAAGAATTATAGTTATATAATATAATTATACTTAATTTCATTTCCAATAAGTAAGGTATTTAAATTTAATGCATCTGTTTATTCAATTCCATTGTTATTCTTTTACTATAATTGTTGATTTTAAATTAATATGGATAGTGATACTTCTATTGTTTTTATTTACAGGAATTGTGGTTCCATGTCGCAATGTTCTAGATCATCGCAGATCTTGTTTGCTTGGGCAAGAAATGCTCCTGCCCCTTCCATCCCTTCTGGTAAGTTACCAAGCAGAATATACAGTGGTAGACACTGCAGGGTATAGTTCACTGAAGCCCCATATGGCTAAATACAAAACCATAAAATTCTGTTGAGAATTATTATCATCACCATCTTCCTTGTCATCATCTTCATTGTCATCATAATCATCTACAGGTCTCCATCTAATGGAAGACCCCTCCAATTAAAGACCACCTCCAATTTCTGTCGTCTCAAATTAACAAATGTCTTTTATTTTTATTATTATAATTAGAGACAAAAGGTGCTAAAGCCCATGAAAACCTCGGTCCCAAAAGTGGTCTTTAATTGGAGGGAAACCTGTATTTATGTCATCTTCAACAATATCACCATTATTTATATTTTTATCATTGTATATCATCACTCCTATTGGGTTTAAACGGTTGTTGAATATTGGAATCCAAATCCAAACCTCTTTGTCGTTATTCAGATTTTCTACAGTTAAATCTTTACATTTCAATACAACACTTGATTGTACATACTATCATAAATCTGATACAGTTAACTCACATTGAACACTTTTATTTATCAAAGGTACTTGTTTCCTTTTGTGTATTTGACTGTAGACTACAGTTCATTAGAATAACTAATATCTAAATGACTTTAAAAAAAAAGACATATAAAGATATAAATATATTTAGGGACTTATTTACAGGCTCTCCTGAATTTGCCTTTTTATTTTATTATATTTTATTATTTTTATTTATATCTTAAAATCCATAATAAATATCAAATTATAAATTAATTACGAAATGGCATTTAAATTATTTAATAAACACAGTATTCTGATTTATTTTATAACTACTATACTGCATTGAAAAAACACAGTGATATTTACATTAATTATTATAATATTCACCTTAAATTTAATCAATTTTTATGATATTCACTTATTGTACAGTGTAATTCATTTTCAAAAAGGTTTTTCTTTGCATATTGTTTTTGTTGTACTTCCCACTGAGAATTGTGCTTCTGTTACAAACAGGAGACATTAAACTTATTATTGTTACTTCAAAAACATGCCATATTATCACTTACCGACAGTCTACATTTCAATTATGTTCCTAACACCCACATTACGCATCCACATTCGTTTTTTCGTACCTTGTCGTATAGTTTTTTACCGTGAAGCTACTAGCAATCTGCAATATGAAGAGTACACATACTCAGGAATGTTATCATTTTCTAATTTTAAAGGTCAAAGTTGAAATGTAAACTGTAATAGGCAACAAACAGATTACTTGATAGTTTGTATTCTCATTTCTGAGTCTAGTAATAAACCTGACAAGGATTATAAAGCAATTAAGAAATCATCAAATATAGTGTTTTCAAGAAGAAGCCAATTTAATTTTTTGTCTATTTTTAATTTTTCTCTTAATTCCCATTTTTAATCTCTTTTTTTCTGATCCTATTTATCATTTTTAGTTCCTATGCATGTAATGCAATAGGAACTATTGTAATCACTCTCACATTTCTTTTGTTTTTTATTGTGTGTAGTATGTGTGTGCGTATGTGTGTAGACATTTATGCAAATGCGCATGGGTCAAAGAAAAGTTTTCCGACATTTTGTTTTACATCGCGATGCAAAGTTCGATGTGGATTTTCTGCAGAGTTCAGTCAGGGCTCGCGCTAACCGATCAGCAAGTCGGCATGCATGAAACTATTTTGGTTTTACGGCAAAAAAAATCAACATAGGTATTTTGAAGAAGGCCTAAAATAAAACAAAAAGGTTTTAATACTTGCTGAAATACATCGTTTTTTCATTTAGATCTCCATTTTTCACTAACTCCATGCAACGTTTTTTTCTGTTGTATGAGTAGTCCATAGAGCTATTAAACAACTAGTGTTGACAAGATGGCGCAGCAATGCAGAGTTATGTATGTGTACCATCCAAGATGGCCGTCGTAGTAAAGCACCACCTTCAGGCTTAGTATACATATTATTACATATTGCATATTAATAAGCCCTCTGACTGACTATTATTTCATTAATGATAATGAGTAATGGTAATAACAAATTATTAAACTATTGTAGCCAAAACGAGGCCAAGTGGAGCATCTTATTCAAAAATAAAGTACCAAGGAATGAAAAAAATCGTGTTTATTACACCCAAACACCGCAACGCTCGAGTTTCAAACATACGGGTAGCTAGCTGTACTGAACCCTCTGAGTAAATTGAGGGCGCAATTGCAAATGATGGTGCTTAGCGAAATTTGATTGGCTAAATCTATGGCAGCCATCTTGGATGGTACCCACACAGTTCTGCGTATTTCGAACATCGAATACATTGCGGTTAGCGCTCTAGTATTCTTATTATCTCTATGGAGTAGTCATATGAAGGTACCATATATCCCCGACAGTTGGCTATGCAGCAATGTACCCTTTGAATACAAATTGAAGACAAGTGAAGATATAAAGACAGCCGACTGTTGGGTACATAACGACTATCTAACTTTCCACAAAAACATTAGGCCTAAGCTAGGCCTAGTTCAGTACAGTAGTTACTGCGATGCGAGGGTGGTAGATTGTTCAGTCAGTGATATCGTGTTATCGTCTAATACATTTTAATAATGTGTGTACAATTTTAAGAATGCACCGCATGGGTCGCTTTCTTTGTTATGCGGTAGTAGTATACACAGCAGAGCAATCTAAGCCTAGCCTAGGGCCTGATCGTATACGTTCTTGATCATCTTAATGAAAACTTCGGCTGACGACGATTGGGCCCAACTGGTGTGGACGATCGGACTCAAGATAGCTTCAAATAAATTGTAGTCCTAGTAGGCCACTGCCACCACCCCCACTCCTGATATCGTTCCAAACTACTGTAAAATGAAATTACTGTATACCTAGCTAGGCCTAGGCCCTATGCCTACG